AATACATCTATGTGAGGTTGCGTACGGGCAAGCTAGAGGGGAAAGTTAGTGAGATGCAAAAAAAAAAAAAAAAAAAAAAAAAAAAAAAAAAAACGTTCTAATGATGTAATTTACATTGTTCTGGTCCGTAACCCATATTTTGTGAAGAACACATTCTTCCGAATCTTTATCCTCAACGTGAGATAGTTTCCATAATCCACGCCCGCACGTTACAATGGCAAACGTTGAGTCCGATTCATATCTGCGCATTCGAACAAAAGTTTTGCCTATCTTCCGGACTTCTATTTGAGGTAGCGCTAAAACGAGGGGGAAAAAGGAGCGTTAGTGACTCATCTACCTGACTGATACAGGAAGTGAAAGGAGGGAATAAATCTATTTAGCCATACCAATGGTTCCGGAGCTCGCATCAAGCTGTACCTTGAACGAAACCATAACCCCACTCCGAAGTCCACAAAACAATGTTGTCTTCAATCGTCCACCACGCTGAGGCGTTTTAATAACCATGAGACTTTCGCAGGCCTTTGATTCATCGTTGCCCGTGGGAAGGAGGATCGTTTGTTCAAGTACGGGCACGAGACCTTGCTCAGGATCTACCCGCGCGACTAGAATATTTCCATCAGTTGTCCCAATGAAAAGAACACACTGTGAATATATCTGTTCTATTGCCATGCTAACGGGCTCGCAAGACAAGGGAAGTGGTTGCCCAATAGCGAGAGTTTGGAGGCCACTGTCATCGATAGCCACTTTCCGGAGGTGAACGTGGATATCCGCTGTTGTTTTGAGAGCTATTGCAAATAGTGACAAACTTCCATTGACGGTAGCAGCAATAATACGTTCATCCGGGTTTTGGCATCGTGTTGAGTAGCGGAGCGTTGTATCCCCAAGAACAGATAGGTGCAACGACGAATCCGTGATTTGAAAGAACACGCCTTCTCGAGAGCTTCCCGCAGCGATGGTTTGCCTATCCAGATCAAAACCGGTGTTGTCCTCGTCCATCATATACAGTTCATCGTCAGCATCAAGAGGAATGGACATCACCGACGATGACATTGGGTTCGAGAACAAGAAAAACGTTGCCCCAGCTTGTGGGTTGGGAAAGGCCCATATATCCAAGACATTTGGGAAGTCTTCCTGGTCCACCACTAATCCAGCCCGGGCCTCAATTCCATGGCGCAATTCCGTAATCCATCCTCGATCCAAGCCATTCCACGAGCATGTAAAGATACGGTCGTTCGCAAAACTCACTGCTTGATCTCCATTTCGGAAGGTTTCCACAGTTTGTGAGCTTGGATCCCCTATGAGAACGGAGTCAAGAACCGGAGCCCAATTAGGTATCCTTTGAAGACATCGGGAATTCTTCCTGGCACCCAAAACGAATAGACCACCATCGCCCATGGAACCTGCAACTATGAGGATATCACCTCCGGCTTCAAAGCCCGAGTCGAGAATGGCAAAGCCTCGATCGACGTTGCAGCCAATGGACTCGATCCGGCTGCATCCAGCATTCCCTCTACATATTGTGAAGTAACCGAGCTCACCATTCTCGCGACATAGGTAAAGATTGTCCTCTTTTTCATGGTGGGAAATATTCCTCCTAGGTCGAACCCACGCTATGAAGGGATGTTTGCCATATGGGTCTGGCAAATTTTGTTTTGTTAACGCCGTACTGTCGGCCAACTTAATTTCAAAGACGTAAATTGCTCCTGGGATGACTAGGAGAAAGGAGGTCGCAAACGTCAACGGGATGAATAGAGAAGGAACCCGACATTCCGCAGGTATCCTTGACCTCAGTCTCTTGGCCTCGATCCTTGAAACACCTTCAGAAGCTCTCCAAGTGTAGCATGCGAAATGAGCTTGGGTTAGATTATTTACGAGCAGCACAAGCACTACCCTGTCGTCATCTCCAGGAGCTGGATAGAGAAAATCTATGGCCACTATGTCACCATCAGCGCGGAAAAAGCGCTCCTACCGCTAGTTAGCAAGGGACTTTATCAACCAAGTAAGAGCCAGAATTTCAAGATGGTGAGAGCATATCCATACTTCCCAGATCGGATTAACTGGCCCTTCTTCCATCTCTGAGCGGATAACTGATGGGAGCTTCAAGGAGAAGACTCCGAAGAATTTATATGCTGCCGAAATTGCCATAGCTCTTGAGCTGTTTTGCGGTCGTGTTAGATTCTATATGATACAGACGCTGAAGGAAGCAGAATATCGACTAACCTGGGATCAATAGCGATATATCTGCCGTATTGTTCGAGAGAGCTAACATCTGATGGTAAGGGTCGTCGGACGAAGGTGAATTCCGGGTTCCCCGATGGTCCTTCCGTCCCGTAAAGAAACAGGAGTTCCTTGGAAGCTAGAACCAGAACAAGAATCTGTCGATGCCAGGAATCATCAAGCAATTTACTAGCAGATGCACCCAATTCCGCCCCCAGCACCTTTTCCGCTTCTAGTGCAGTAACGCCATTGGACCCGATGACTTTAGCATCCAGTATCTTTGTATCAAAATCTGCTTTAGTAGCAATGTCTTCCAGGTGGCCACCAGCGACGAGTTCTTTGACCTGGATAAAATCATCGCCCACAAAGACGATATCATGCTTGTCGCGATGCCGTATACGGGCGGGTAATACTCTTTGGATCATAGGGCCGGGTATGACGGTCCGAGAAAGCACCCCAGTAATTGGAACGGTTGTCCTTGATGGCTTGCTAGTAGCGTCACCTGAAGTCCCTTGCCTGCTGGCCATAATATCTCCAATGTTGACTTGACGTGTAGCCCAGTTGCCGCCGGTCAAGTATGTCGTCTGGAGAGACATTGTGTGATGTGCTGCTTCATGAGAAACCAGTTGATACCATCAAAATTGATCTTGGCAGTTCTACATGTACGAGTAGAACTTGGAATTGCTTGCAAAGAATGTAAACAATTCTGTTGCCTTCAAGATAGGAAAATCAGAATGATCAAAGCAGGGCAGGCTTTCCCCCTTTATCTTCATAAAGTATTCAAAGCATTTTGATCACAATAGTATCGGAATTGGTTTCGGTTCTATTAACAGGGTAACAAAGCCCTAAAAAAAAAAGGGGGGGGGGGGGGGGGGTGGTTATATGTTTGGGGTCGTAAGGTCCTGTGTCGCGAATAGCCTTCAACCCAAAAGAATTGAAGCTGCTACTGCTGCTGCCTTAGACAGATAAAGATGACTAAGTAAAATATAAAAAAGGGGGTATTTTCACATTGACAAGGAGACAGTGAGAGACAGCTGGATTGAATAAAATATAATTGAGGAGTAGTATGGCCGCCACAGTCAACAACTGCGAAAGAAAAGGGTGAACCAAGTCAGCACGACCATTTACACCAGGACAGTGAGAAGAAGGTGCCGAAGTGAGGAGCGGCGGGGGTAATAAGTAATAAGAGTGCCGAAGTATACAGATACATACACACAGGCGCCTCACTAAAGTGGTTGCTGAGGCAATTGTGTCCCCGAACACGGGGTTACAAGGCCCGACAGATTGGGGTGGAAAGGGTGAAGGAAGCTGAGATAGCAGCAGCGCTCCCCTCTCTGCTCTGTGGGGCCATTTAAAGCTCTTTTGACGCCCAGCAATGAGGGGACGGACGAGAAGGGAGATCTCGGCCCCAACAGATCCCAAGGAATGTAACAAATAGGCAGAGACCTGATATCAGGTTGAAGACGGCAGATGGCGCGGGGGAGCAGCAAGGGTGTGTCTGTCTAATGCGGGTATATATGCACGGTGCCAGGATCTATCTCGCGTTGCCGTTGGAGGCATTTAATAGCCAGATTAACTGTTGTACTTTGGGGAAATATGCCGATGCGTGCACTCCGTACCCAGTAGAAGCTGGTTTCTCTTCACAGTCGTGCTGTGGAATGTGTGGGATGCGTTGATGTTGTGGATGTTTCGCCCTCGAATATGGAAACTCATCCAGGTGGGGCGTGTCCCCAACCCACCCAGTGCGGGGCCATACCGCCCGTCCTGTTAGTCATGCCCAATCGGTGCTGGGCTTTCCCCAATCATTCGGGGCCTTACGACTCATCATCGCGGAACCAACAACGGCCCAACCCTGCTGCTAGTTGCCTGGCGACTGCTGCGGGAAATCAATCATCAAGACGCCAGCGTAGATTATCTATCAAGTCGGCCCCAGTCATCTATCGTTCCAGGGATCCCATCCCGTCTGCATGTCAGCAGTATTTCATGCTCTAGGTGATTGTCGCTGCGAGGTTGCTTCGTGTTTGTTGCGTCTTTGTTACCGTCTTGCTACAGCCACAGTTTCCACGCCCCATCGAGTATCCGCCCCCTGAGTTGCATCCGTCTTTGATTCATTTTGATATATTCCGTATATCCTCTACGGAGTGGGGTTTCCATCTAGAATCCCTCGGTATGCCCAGATCTCAATCTCCCTTCTGTTTCACCTGGCTGACCACTTTCGTAACCGGCCGTCGTTTGTTTGAGATTCCAAGCCGCCTGCCTAACCCTCCATTCCCAGAACCATCACGCATGTCCACGTATCCTAATGCTCAGCAAGCTATCCACCGCGAGGAACACATCATCGTTCGTCCCAGTTGACCTCGTTGTCCCGGGTTCAAAATAGTAACTTTGGTGAATGAGATCAACTTTCTTTGCCTGCCAATAACGGCTTTGGTCTTTTTTTCTTTTTGTTTTCTTTTCTTCTTTTGTTATCTCGTATCCCCCAGTCTAGATATGTTGAAAAGTATTGGCCTGTTCTACCTTTAACTTTGATCAATTTTGATATTCACTTCCCCCCTTGCTAGGCGTTCTTTCTTTTTTCTTTTCTTTTTCTTTTTCCTTTTGTTATAACTTGTGGTTTAAACGATTATCATCTTTCCAAAAGTCTTTGCATTGGGGATCGGGCTGCAACGCAGTGCAACAAAACCCTCGGTTGAAGAGATCTGCAGAACAATTTCTTTCCCCCCCCCTCCTCCTCCTGTAGTCCGTTTGGATGGGGGTCTGGTTACCACAATTCCGCAAATGCCATGGATAGCAACAACAGCCTCCCATCCACCAAGAGAGCCAGAGCATCATCGGGGCTGAACCGCCGTTCTTCAGATGGCCAAAGCGTCCCTGACGCCCATAAACCGAAACGGGATGAGATCCTACGTGCTTGCAAGGCCCGAGATGTCCAAGCATTAGTCTCCCTGTCCACATCAGAGGGAGGCTTGCTGCATGATGATCTCCGCCAAGCTGCCTGTAGGTTTTGTCCGTTGAATGATACTATATTTTCTATATTGGCATGGCAAGCTTACATGCTGCGACAAATACTACAGGGCCTGTTCTATTGGGATACGATCCCAGTACAGATCATCCCGCAGCGTCCGAATGGACAAGTTTACCCGTGCACTGTGACGAGGAGCAAGTGAAGCTTGACGTGAATCGGTCCTTTGTACACTACCCAAACTGTACGTAAAATGCTTGAATCCAACCCTGCCATGCAAAAGGAACAGTGTTAATGCAAAGGAAATAAAACCGTTGACGTTAATCTGCAGGCCAAACCGAAAAGGAGTTGGACAACAAAAAGCAACAGCTATCGGACCTGATAACCAAGGTCCTCAGGAAATACCCCATGCTATGCTACTTCCAAGGCTACCATGACATCGCGCAGGTCCTGCTTCTAGTCCTTGGAGCTGAGCAAGCCAGTCACGCCTTTGAGCGGATCTCTCTCTTGCGCATACGTGACTACATGCTGCCCACTTTATCCCCAGCACTAAAACACCTCCAGCTCATCCCGGCCATCCTCCACTGTTCCAACCCCAATCTTTGCCGCCATCTCTCCGGCACCAAACCTTTCTTTGCACTCGCAGCAACCCTGACGCTCTACGCCCATGACATCGAAGCGTACGCAGACATAGCCAGACTCTACGACTTCATCCTCTCCCACGAGCCAGTCGTTTCCATCTACCTCTTCGCCGCCATAATCCTCTCGCGGAAAAAAGAGCTTTTCGAAATCCCCCTCGACGAGCCGGAAATGATCCACTTCACCCTCTCCAAATTGCCTCACCCAATTGACCTCGAAGCACTTGTCGCCAGCGCTATGCAGCTCTACTCCACCCATCCGCCGGAGAAACTCCCCTTCCGCGCATGGAAGAAGATCCCGAGCAGCAGCGTGCTCAAGACGTCAAGGGATCTCAGCTCTCTGCGGGTCACTCCGGAGGAAGCGAAGAAGCTGCTGGAGCTGCAGAAGCGGGACCTGCGGCGGGAAGAGCTGAGGCAAAAGGCTGCTGGCTTTATGTGGAAGTATAGGCGGCTGGCTGGGTCAATTGGGCTGGCTGTGTTTGTTGGTGTTCTTTCGTACTGGATCATGAGGAACGACAACAGCGCTATGTCTGTATGGAGGCGTTGTTTGGGGTGGCTTAAGAGCGCTTTTCAGGCTCGCTGGTAAGGGATGGTGCAGGTATTTGGCTTGGGCGAACGGGCGCTTTTGTGGTCAATGGAATGGCTAACTGGAATTCATCATTCTATTAAAAAAAGATATAAGATATACTGTACGTGTGTATGAATTAGCAAAGGGTTTACTTGGGACTGGGTGTCCATTGGCGAATATACAGATATATATTAGCTATTGCACCTATACAGCAAATACTACTGATATTCTATTCTGTATTCACCCCATATACAACAGTTACAGCATCCCTTTGCTGAGATAAAATTGTTTTGTTCTAAACAAATACAGCCACGGCCGGTGAGTGGCAATAGGGATGGCGTCGTTTACCGTATCTGAGTTGACTTCAAAACTCCAACATTCATCCACCAAACAACCCGCAACATCGCCCAGCAGCAACAATGGCCAACCGCGGGTATGATGTCGTGGTCGACGTGGACACTGAGGTACGATATATACATATAAAATATATGTACCCTTAATTCTTGACATGTCAAACCCGTACTAACAGACGCCGTTGCTCACAGGGGGACCTTGGCCATACCGACCTGCAAGAAGACCTCGAATTCCACCCATCCAGTACGTACCGCATCCCTCCAAATAACCAAATAAGCCCCCCAAAAATCCCTCGCACATCATGCATCTCCTGTACATAATCAAACCAAAACCACCTACCTCCTCCAACAAAAAAAAAATGAAAAAAAAAAACACCCCTCCCCAAAATGAACCCACCCCTCTAACCCCATCCTGCAGACTTTGAAGAAACCTCCCGCACCGGCAAACCCGCGGACAGCACTCCCTTCCTAAGCTCCCAAGGCGGCGGTGGGTCCTCCTCGCACCGCCGTGACACATCCCCAGGCGGCACCCCGTCCAAACACCGCTTCTGGACCCTGACATACTACTCCCAATTCTTCGACGTCGACACCTCCGATGTCCTCCACCGCTGCACCGCAACCCTCTACCCGCGCACAAACTTCCTAGACGTCCTCGACGGCAACCCAGATCTCTACGGGCCCTTCTGGATCGCCACGACAGTCGTCGTTGTCCTCTTTCTGACGGGGACGGTCTCGCAGTACCTCGCCCGCAGTGGGCGGGAACACTTCGAGTACGATTTTCGTCTCCTGTCTGGCGCCGCGGGGCTGATTTATGGATACACGGGCATCGTTCCGATTGCACTGTGGGGCGCTTTGAAGTGGTTTAGGCGCAGTGGCGGTGGGGTTTCCGGGTCGGGGGCGGGGGCGGGAGCAGGGATGGGCGTGGGCGTGGGAGCGGAAGCGGGAACGGGCGCTGATTTGATTGAGTGCTGGGCTTTGTATGGGTATGCGAATTTGGTGTGGATTGCGGTCGCGCTGGTGAGTTGGAGTCCGTTGACGGTGTTGAATTGGGTGCTTGTGGGGATTGGGTTTGGGTGGACTGTGTTCTTCATGTTGCGGAATTTATACCCCGTGCTCAGCGCGACGGATGTGAAGACGAGTAAGATGTTGTTGATTGCCGTTATTTTGTTGCATGCTGGATTGGCGATTGCGATTAAGATTTTGTTTTTTGCGTGAGTATACTTTTTTTTTTTTTTTCGTTCTCTTCCTCTCTATACCCCTTCCTGTCACCTCCCCTAGAGTTTCTGGCCGCTACTCTGCATGCTGGTTTGAAAGTTGTCTAACAACGTTTGCTGCTTATAGTCACGGAAGCCCGGTATCGGAAAAGGGAAAGGACAAGGGGAAGGATAAGGACGATGACTAGAAGGGCAAAGATGATTGAGATAAACCAGATCCAAGGTTTATGGGATTTTTAAATACGATGGCTATATCGATTTGATGATATGTTGGCTGGGACGATCGATCTTCAAATATGTATTCTTACATTGTTTTAAACTACCCCCTTTTGCCCGAATAGCAGTTACTTTCTGCCTTTCTTGTTTGTGATTTTGCTCTACGGCCTAGTTCTTTTTTGCTACAGGCGGGGGTGTGTTGGAGGAGACTGGTCGTGTATTTTTAGCTCTCCATATCGGTTTTCGCGGTTTTATTCTTGGATTTTTCCCCATCTGGCCTGAACGGTGCTGCCAGATAGATAAAACCTCAGAACGAAGCTGGGATGTTTCTGAATTTGGTTGTTCTTTCGGTTGTTCTTTCGACGGCATCCCAACCCCTGTGTGTTAATTCATTTGCTTCTCCGGAATTCCACAAAGTATACCTCCCTCCTGTCAGTTATTATCCAGTTGCCATCTTCAGTTTGGCAGCGCTGTTTTCCAGTATCAGCAGAACCTCTGCCCACAATACAAAACGCCTGTTCATCTGGTGCAGGCTGGCTTATATCCACGGATTCGATTGCATCTACGCCATGGTTCCTGACAAAACATGAAAAACGAACAGAGGTAAAAGAAAGGTAATTCAGAACTTGTTCTAATATTCGCAACATCCTCTGATAATCGCAGGGTAGGGGTAGGACACGTATTTCATTATCTGATCTTAAAACGCAAACGCCATGGGCAAAAGAACAAGGTGGGTGTGCTGTGCTGTAGCGCGTGTGTAGGTTGGTTTTGTTCGTTGAAGAGTCCTTTCAAATAGATTATAAAAACAAGTTCCAAACAGTCCTTCCCATTCCCCCTTCAGCGAAACAGAAACAAAACCATGCAAGAAACCAGCCCAGCCGATACAGAAGCAGTATAAGGAAAAACCAAAAATCTACTTCAGCTTCTTCTTTGGTCGGAGTTGGTTGGTGTGGCCACATTTCTTCTTTCTGCAGTTAGTGGCACGCGGGGGGAGGCGGGCCTGGAGATATTGGGGTTAGTATGATTTTGCGGCCGGGGCTTCCACAGTGGATAGATGACGTGTTCGGGGAGGCCGAAGGAGTTTCACGCGAAGTCGTGGAAAGAGAAGGACTGGTGAAAAGATTATAACGAAAAGAAAAGAATACGTACATAGCATTTCCGGCAGATCATCTTGTCGCAGTTGTATTTGCTGGCGAGGGCTCTGAGCGAGGGTTCTATGATACCACCACGGAGGCGGAGGACGAGGTGAAGGGTGGATTCCTATAGTTTCCGCAAAAAAAAGGGTCAGTTAGATACCGTTTCCGAAACCAAAGATATATAAAAATATACATCCACTCTCATCCACCCGCTCCGCTTTCGTTGACGCTTATCCGGCTGCAACCTCATCATCCTATCAAAGTCCAACTGCATCTTCCATCTCCATCCTTGGACAACAGAAATCCCCTTGATCCTCCCTCTTTTAATATTTCGTCACACAACCTCCTCCCATCTCCGCCCATAGTTTCCCATCAACCTGATACCAAAAAAACACAGAAAGGGAAAACCCCCTACCTTCTGGATATTATAATCACTTAGCGTTCGGCCGTCCTCGAGCTGCTTGCCAGCGAAGATCAATCGCTGCTGATCGGGTGGGATACCCTCCTTGTCCTGTATTTTCGACTTTACATTGTCGATGGTATCGCTGGACTCGACCTCGAGGGTGATGGTCTTGCCCGTGAGGGTCTTGACGAAGCTGTTTGTACGGAACTTAAATCAGTATATTTTATCTCCCAGCTCTCCCTTGCTTCTTGCCACTGCAATTTCCTTTCTCGTTTGCCCTTCTTTCACCTGTATATCCGGGCTTTTCGCAGAGGGTTGTGGTTGGAGTTTGGGGGGGTTATGTATGGAGAGCGCTTAGGGTACGGCTTACTTACATTTGCACTGTTACGGGTTAAAAGCCAAGAGTTAGCATTTCATTCACATATCCATATTCAGCGGCACGTCTCGTATACAAAAAGGCATATGCACTTACTGGTTGCTGATACTTTCTCTGTCGTTGCTGGATGGTCTGACTCTACACGTCTCTCTCTCTCTCTTCCTCTCGTTTTCACTTCGACGTTTGGTCGCTGCAATTTTGATGATTCGCTTAGCGCGTGGGTCGTTGGCATCGTTGTGCCCTAAGCCCTACCATTTCCGTTTTGGGACATGTCCAGCAATATTTGACTTTTTGACGTTCAACATTTCATTCTATATAAACCCTTGACGCAAGGACGTGCTTTCTGGGAACCAGATCATATTTTGTTGTTAAATAGTGCTTATTCTGGGGTTATTCTATACCTCGAATGCTGAATAGATTCTGTATTGAAACATGAAATAGCTACTATTCCTTCTAGCTAGCTAACAGACAGACGAACACCCTACGCTGGGATGGTCTCCCAGCTACGTGAATTCAGAGCAGAAGAACTACAATCCTCATATTCAGTAAACCCAGTATCTAAACATCATGGTTATCCATCACCGCTAATTATACAGTTACCTACCTGTCTCCCCCATATCCTCATCCTCATCCTCATCCTCATCCTCATCCTCATCCACCTTCTCCATCACATCCCCATTACTTTCCCCATTTCCACCGCACTCCCCTCCACCACTCTCATTTTCATCCTCCCCCTCGCTAACCCCCTCCATGCCATTCCCACCAACCCATCTAGCCCTAATCCTCCTCTCCGTATGATACACCCCAATAACCACCGTCCGCAACGAAACCCCAATAACCCTCGCAGCCGCCTCGTAGAAAGCTCTAGCCCGCTCATTCAGCTGCTCTTCCGTCCGGTAGCGTTTGTAAAAGCTCCCTGGACGGGGGACTGTGGCTGGAATGGCAGCGGAGGACTTGGCTTGGGCTTTTTGTTGTTCGGCGGCATCGTTTGTAGGGCCCACGCTGATTGCACGACGAATCCGTAGCTCGCCGAGAACGTTGTGGAGTGCTGTTGTGAGTAGGGTGTCTTCTTCTTCTTCTTCTTGTTGTTGTTGTTGTTGCTGTCCTTGCTGCGTCTGCGCAGGTGCTGTTTCATTGCTGTTGTTGTCAGGACCCGTTCGGCTTGTTGGGAACATGTCCGTAAACGGATTCGAGGCTGGTTTATGAAAAATAAAAAAAGTTAGCATGGATTATCACATCTACCACCCTTCCTCTAACCCCTTACTTCCCCCAACAGCTCACTTCCCTCAAGAGAGCAACGAACAAAAGGAGAGGGGGAAATAACTCACTTCCCCTCCCCGCGAACATTCCTTCATACCAATCCAAATACTTATCAATCTCTTCCTCATTCATCCCAAACACATTCCCAGCTCGAACTCCAATCTGCCTCTCCTTCTCCTTCCTCTTCCCCTTCCCCTTTTCCTCCCCCTGAAACACCCTCCACGCCTCCCAATTCATAATCTGCGCTGCAGGATCACGCCACGAGAACGGGTACCTCTTCACATTCGTTAGGCCATCGGTACTCCCCTCCCCGTCATCAAAGGGGTAGAAGAGCTTCACAGCGATGATCAGGAGGGATACGAGCTGGACTTCCGGGAGGTGGTTGCGGTGGAATTTCCGCTTACATTTTCTTCTGGCAGATGTGGTTGTGCTGTATGAAATGGGGGATGAGTAGCTGAAGCTGTAGCCAGCTAGTTGCTGTAGCCGATTTAGGACGGGGGGGAAAGGCTCGACTGTGGTTTTTTTTAATTTTTTTTTAATTTTGGATGGGGGTTTTAGCATTTAACTTGGGGATGGCAGCGGGGTTCTAATAACATGTATAGACCGGGAAAGGGCAGGGGTGTCTTACGTGGTAATGAGAGCTGTTTGATGTATGTAAGCAGCATAAGCGGTGCGTTGAGCGGCGGGATCTCCACGCCGAATTCTTTGTGGTAAAAGGCTCCTAGATCCGCGATGGCGCGGTGGAGTTGGTAGCCCGTTGGCACGTTCTGTATATTTGGCTGTGAGTAAAACCGGTCTATTTTCAATGAATAGGGCATAGCACCAAAAGGAGAGGGGGGGGGGGGGGAGGAGGGAGGCTGGCTTGGGTGGTTTGGTTGAACGGGCAAGGGAGAGTTGGTAGAAAAATCACCTTCGTATCCAGCGCAAAATGATACGCCGCCGGCAACCGATCCTTCATATCCTGCGGTATAAACCTGATCGCTCTGATCAGGGGTATTTCGTCGTTCAGGATCCATCTGCCACCACCCACGTTAGCATTCAGCATATCTATCACCGCTAAATTCCACAATCTAACGCAATCTAACACAACACAACAGGACAGGACAAGAGAAGACAAACACATACCTCTCCACCCTCCCAAGCCCCAGCGGCACCCTCAACAACAGCACGCCCAAGTAGCACAGCGCCAGCGAGTCAATCAGCTTCGGCGACTCCAGCATGCGGCGCCGCTGATAGGCCGTCTCCTCTTCGACCTCTTCCTCCCCCTCCCTGTCTGCATCCGTGCCTGTGCCCGTGCCCGTGCCTGTGCCTGTGCCTGTGCCTGCAGCCTGCGAACTGAATACCTCTGTTTGACCGCTCTCGCCATCCTGGCCATGGTCGGAGGCTGATGCATAGCCATACCGATCTCGGCTGCAGCTGTAGAGCTGGGGCAGACGGAGGGACCAGAGATCCTTAACGAGGGGCTGGGGATGATATTTTTTGGTTAGAAAGGGGTAGAGGGCGGAGTTGTGTGTGAGGGAGGGAGGCGTGGAATGTGTATACACACCTCAAGTTCCGCCGGCATCCCCTTGTCGTGTATCAGGGCGTGGCATTGTTTCCAGAGGACGAGCTGGTATGCTTCTAGGAAGAGCTGGAAGGCTTGGGCGCCATGGTAGGCTGGGTATCAATGGGTGTGTTAGTATCAGTTTACTCAACTAACTCCTCAGCCAACTGTTTTTTCGTTTAGATACATGGAGAGGAGGGGGGGGGGGGCCGGGAATGGGACACTAGTATAGAGGCAGAGATATATAGATCTGGATCTGGAGATGCTGCGTATCACTCACTCCTGGACGCCCTCTCCTCCCGAACCTTCTTCTGCCGAATGACCTTGCCCTGTTGACCGAAATCATCGTCGTCGACGATTTCTTGCCGGCCCTACGTATATCGTCAGCATCAGCATCGTCCGCGGACATGAATTCTGTAACACTGCAACACATACATACATACATACATACATACATACCTCCTGCTGATGGCCCCCCCGACAAAACCACAGCCCATTTTCCAAAATATACCGCGTCTCAAGACATCCGTCCTGCCCGCACACGCCGCGGGTAACGTATTCCTCCATCTTCCAAAATCCGATCCCGTCCCGTCCCGTCGCGCCCTGTCCCATCCGCCGCTGTCTGGTTCTAGCTATATCCCATTGGATAAAAAGTCCGGGAGAGAAGAGAGCGGGGGGGGGGGGGGGGGAATAGGTTCTGGTATCCGGGTGTTATTTTACCGCCACCCCCTCCCTCCTCTGCTCTTCTTGCTCTAAGACCTGGTTTGGCCGGAAGAGGAAATGGAGCGGAGTGATGAAGCTGCTACGTAACTATGATGGGATTGTATATAAGGGTTTCCGTAGCGAGCGGTAAGATGTAAATAAATAATAGCTTGCTCATTTACAGAGTTTAGCGGGTGATCTGTCTTGCCACCACCAAAATCTGTCTGCACCGGGGGGATCGCGAGATGCAAAGGAGAGGGGCGGAGCAGACGCTGAGGTCGAGCAAAGTTGAAAAACAGGGGGAGGAAAACTTCTTTTGTGGCCTTTTTTTTGTTTTTTTTTTTTGTTTTTTTTGTTTTTTTTTTTTTTAGTTTTTCATCTTTTCCAGCATGATTTACAACGCGGGACAATTTACTGACGGCGCATCATCCAGGGTCTTTTGTGCCCATTCACACTTTAAAAAAGTAATCCATCCGCATGTCTCGAGTCCCTACGACGCTTGTAAAATATCATGAAAATTATTCTTTTTACACGATGTTCTCGTCAAACGACAAAAAGAGAGAAACAATTAAGAGTTCAAATGCAAAAAAAAATAAAAATAAAAATAAAAAATAAAAATAAAAAAATAAAAAATCTAAAAATGAACCTCAATTTCATGTTTTTTTTTTTTTCTGTTTTTCTGTTTTTCTTTTCTCTCAATCTTATTCATCACAAGTTGTGTCAAATCACGAATGAGAGAACAATGGCATTTCCTTGTTTTATTCTCCCTTATCTTCCTTTCTCCTCCCTTGAAAATGAGTCAAAACACATGCTCATTTTTGACAGCAAGAGCATACCACACACGAACATGACAGACACAACTGAGACACGAAAAACACGCACACACAAATAGATAGATAAAAATAAAAAAATAAAAATAAAAATAAAAAAAACACTTAGATATGCATTAAATCTAGCTGCGGGGGGCTTCCTTGGCATCCATAGCAACCTCCTCACCCATGGCAGTCAAAACGACGACGTCTGCGCACTCGGGGTTAGATATCCAAAGAAAAGGCAAGAAAGGGAAGAACAGATGGGGAGGGAATTGTGAAAACGTACTGGTATCCTTCTCCTCGACACGGAAGAGCTTCTCGATCTTGTCACCCACCTCGCCCTCTGGGAGTTTGACATCATCCTTGGTGGAGCCATCATCGGACATGAGAGACAGGAAGCCGTCATCGGTGATATCAAGCTGGTGGAGTAGTATCAGCACACCTGTTTCTTTGCTCACCAAAAGAGCAAAGCGAAACACAACGGGAGATTTAAAAAAATAATAATAATAATAATAATAATAATAATAATAATTTAAAAATTAAAAATATTTTTTTTTTTTTTTATATACAAAACGATGGGAGGGAGAAACGAACCAATTGGTATTCTTTGCGATAGACATTCGGCACCTCCATGTTGTGGGTGGAAGGGCAGAGATCCTCCAGTTTCTTCGAGGTGAAGATGTCGATGGCGACCAGGTGGACTTTAGCGTGGCCGTGCTTGCCAGTCTTGGAGGTAGACATCTCGACAATCTTGCAGGGGCGGTTTTTAATCACGACGTAGCCGTTCTTGCGCAGGGCAGAGCACTGCATGGGGAACGTGGCTGAGGCGCCAGCGTCGGCGCTCTCAAAGGTGTGTTCATGCTGATTTGTAGGGAGAGAGAAAATGGAGGGGGGAGGGGAAACGGTTGTTAGTTTACATTTCCTTAATTTTTGTATATATGGGAGTGCATGTGTATTTTAATGCTTAACGGGACAGAGTTCTTAACGGGTTGGGTGGGAATGGGAGATAAAGGAGGATATAGTATGGACAGGTTCTCTAGGGGAGAGATGGCGGGGGAAGTTTTTTGCTGGGACGAGAAAAGGCGGCAGCAGCAGCAGCGAGCGAGTTTTGGGAGACATACCTGAGCATCATCGGCCATGGTGGAGGTTAATGGGATTGATTCGAGGGAGAGAGAGATTGGAGGCAAAAGGAGAAGGCCCGACAAGCGAAGA